AGGCTCCATCCATGCTCATCTTTCAGCCCCTTTTTGATCACAATGCTCCTAAATATCTCAAATCACTCCATGGCACATTCCAACACCTAATAAGGACAATGAATGCAAAATGAAACCTAGACATGGCTAAATCCTAATCTATATGATGAAAATGCTCATGGATGAATGGGTAAAACAATGCAAATATGCAAGATATCAAGTCTCATTTTCTAGAGAAATGAGAATACAAAAGGTCTCAAAATAAAGATTTTATAGGGTTTACTTTATTGATTTTGGTAGTATATGAAGTTTTATTAAACTTTTTGATTGGAACATAAGTTTACTTACATTAATATAAAATTTTAAAGTGGTTTGGTATTTTTAAACAAAACTTTTAAACAGAATCAGATCAAAGAGTGTCTTTCAAAACAAGAAAAACCTTTCTCATCATCACGTATTATGAATTGATCGACACACATTTTCTCTTGAACCTTCCACTTCTGTCCATTCGGACATTGATACCAAGTGCCAAGAAATAAGAGGTGATGAGTATAATTTATTAGTGAGCTAAATGATATGATCATATTGTGTAATGTCGTTGTTTTCATATTTTCTGGGTAAATAGTATAATTCTGTCCTGATATAAAAAAGATATTCAAGTTAAAATATTCTTTTTATTTGTTTCTTAAATCCCCAAATTCTATTCTAAAAACCTCCTAAAAAATTTGTTCACATCCCAGATTTTTAGAAAATCCTTTGAATCATCAATACGTTTCGGCAGTTTCGCCACGCAGCTCCCCAAGATATTCCAACAATACCAAAACGTTATGAGAAAATTTGTTGAAATTAAGGAGATTTTAAGCCAAATAAAACCAGTGAGAAGACAACATTTGTTATTACCGATTTTTGTTTGAACATCATTACCGATTTTATTGCACACCACCAATCCACACAGAAAATTTGTAAACCATCAATTTTTACAATAATTTTTATTTATACTTTTGGAGTTGAGAAAGTGAAAAAATATCAAACAGAATATCGTGCAGTCTGCTTCATTCAAATGTCATATTCTCTGCTTCACGTCTTACGGAGTCGAATAATTCAGTCGATATGTAACGTTCTCCACCGCTAGGGAAAACCACCTGAAAACCGGACAATAACCGATTTATTTTTCTTTAAAATCCGGTCTGACTTTTGGTTAAAGAAGGAGATAATTATGTAAAGTAATAACTCTAATTCACTTACAACTATGAGCTTCCCAGCGTTTTCTGGCCGTTTTGCCACCTTAATCGCAGCAGCTGCAGCTGCTCCAGAAGATATTCCGACCTACCAGACGTTAAAATTTGATCAGAAATGTTGGCTTTATGGTTTTTAACCGATTAAACCGACAGACTGTACCAGTAATCCTTCTTTAAGGGCAAGAAGTCTGGCTGTTTCAATTGCTTCCATGCCTGGCATCTGAAATAAACAGAATTAAACATTACAAAATATCTCAGTCTCTTGACATTTTATTGCATGCTTTTACAAGAGAAAAAAATTTATCAGCTACACCTTACTTGAATGATTTCATCAACAATGCTTAAATCCAAATTGTCTGGGATGATTCCAGCTCCAATACCTTGGATCAAATGTTGAGCTACAAGAAACCCAAAAACCTTTTTGATCAGGAAAGAGATTTTTACAGCAAGAAACTCCACGACTTAATGATGGTACTTTTATAAGGTACTTTTGTTAGACTCAAGAAGCCACTAATAGGGGTTCTCAACTTAAGGTTCTCAAAATATATATTTTTTGAGAACCCCATGGTGTGTGCTCTAACTCTTACCCGGTCTACATCCACTGAGTACAGCACTTTCTTTAGGTTCCACCGCGTATACCTGTTGTATCAAACAAGTGCTCGTATAACAAACTAGATGTTTTTCATGTTATGATTTTGGAATTGTAAATATATATATAAGTTTTATACCTTTAAGTCTTTCTTCTTCTCCTTAAGGAACTTACCTGCTCCGGAGATTGTTCCACCAGTCCCAACACCGCCGACCAGTATATCTACTTCCCCTGCAGAGTCTCTCCATATCTCTGGACCCGTGGTTCGATAATGAGTCTGCATTACATACCAACATTTTAGATAAACAAAAAAAAATAAAAAGAGAGATCTAAAGAGAGTCCATGATATATACTTGTGGGTTTGCAGGATTGCTGAACTGATGAAGTATGATACCATCTGGAGTTTTGCTTAATATCTCGTTGGCTTTTTCGTATAATCCTTTAACGCCTCTCCTAGGATCTGTGAGGTAAACCTCTGCACCTAATGCTAACAGAATGGTCTTTCTCTCGAGGCTCATTGTTTGAGGCAGTGTGAGGACAACTTTGTAACCTCTAGCTGCCCCCACAAAGGCTAAACCGATCCCAGTGTTACCGGAAGTTGGCTCAATCAATGTACTCTGAAGTAGTAGTAAATATACACCATGTTTTAAAGATACAATGTAGTAAAACGTGAAAATGCAAATTGTATTGTATGATCTAACGTACCTTGCCGGGAGTAATGAGTCCCTTGTCTTCTGCATCTTTAATCATTCCATAAGCAATTCTAGCAGAGGGAAGATAGTTCATAACAACAAGGAGATTTCTCAGAAAACAAAAGGAAGTATTGTGTTTAGGAGTAAACATGAGATTGCGAAGTGATATATACCGATCCTTGACACTAGAGCAAGGCTCCATCATCTCAAGCTTTGCGGCTATACGAGCAACACAGCCATCTACAACGTTATTCAGATACACCATTGGAGTGTTACCTATCAACTGTGCACAGAGAAATACCATGGAACTATAAGTACATAACTGGAACAAAGTAACTTTGAACTTGACTATTCCAAGTGAAGCAACTGATGGAAAAAGGTTGAAAGATTTCGAAACTAGTTTTTTTTCTCAAAATGGAAAAAATGATTTCGAAATTACTTGAGTCACGTCATCCTTGATCGAACACTCCATGCTAATATGCTATAATTCCTGCAAGATTCAACTTGAGTGTATCAAACTAATTCAAAAGATGTTACATATGACTATCTCAGTGAGTGATGCAAGCATGCATTCGTGTTCTTGAGCTAAAAAACGAAAAGAAACTATCTATACGTTGGGAAATTTAGGAGGGAAAAGAGAAGAGAACACCTTTATCAAAAAAAAAGAGAAGAGAACAGTTAAAAGATGTTTACCCAATCGGAGTTTGAGTAAGTCAAAGACTCGAAAGTAATGATATAAAGGCATCAGTAAGTACACTGTACACAACAATAATTAACGCAACGCATAAAACTCGTCAGAATATTTTATACATTTATAGTATTATGTTTTTACATTTTATATATTAATTGTTTTTAATTATTTAAAAACTATAGTATTATGTTGCTAAAAAAACTTAATTGTTTATTATTCCTAATATTTTGCCACCTCACATTTCTTGCATACTGGTATAGAGTAATTAGATTGCTTTAAAGTTTAAACAAAAGGGAAAAAGGATTACCTGCCTTTAACAACGCATAAACTTTTAAAATTAATAATTCTATAATGTTCTAATTCTTACCAAACATTGGTTACTAAACACTTAATATACTGCTGACCAAATCGGCGAGGATCTCGTGTTTGTTTTGTTTATATGTTTCTGGTAGGAATTTAATCGACATACGTTACTTCCATTTACGTGCATGCATGCATGTCTAGAATTTTCTTATTCTGGAAACAATATTACGTCATTTCAAGTCAAACATCACTTCTTGGTACTTTATTACATAGCTGAACGGAGTAACGTGGTAGTGGATAAGTCTCTCATTCAATTGCCAAATTCTCTGCTTCACATCTGATTGAGTCAAACATTGGAGTCGATAAGTAACGTTCCCCGCCACTTGAGAAAACCACCTGAAAACCGGATAGTAAACCGAAATATTCATTTTAAAATCCGTTTTGATTTCGGTTTAAAGATAAAATGTTGGTTTGTAAATTGTAACTCTGTTTCACTTACAACTATGAGTTTCCCTGCGTTTTCTGGACGTTTTGCCACCTTTATAGCAGCGGCAGCAGCAGCTCCGGAGGATATTCCAACCTGAAATATGCTAACACTTATCAGAAACGTTGGTTTTTATGGTTCAAAACCAAAAGGAGAATCAATTAAACCGACAGATTATACCAGTAATCCTTCTTTCAGGGCAAGAAGTTTGGCTGTTTCAATAGCTTCCATAGTTGTCACCTGAAATGGAGATTGCAAAAGCTCTTAGTCTTCTCATGGATTTCAAGAAACACACACCAAAAGATATAGATAAAAAAAAGTCTCAGCTACAACATTACTTGAATGACTTCATCAAGAACGCTGAAATCCAAATTGTCTGGGATGATTCCTGCTCCAATACCTTGGATCCCATGTGGACCTACAATATTAATATCCAGTTTATATGTCTGTTATGGTCAAGAACAAGATTAGTAAGCCTAAGTGAAAGACTAACTCACCAGGTTTCCCTCCACTGAGTACTGCACTCTCCACAGGTTCCACCCCATAAACCTGTTAATAAAACAAATGCTCGAGAATAAGCCTTAATTAGTATCTAACAAATGTTCTCTCATATATAAGTTTTGTACCTTAACTTCTTTATTCTTCTCCTTGAGGAACTTCCCTGCTCCAGATATAGTTCCACCAGTCCCAACACCAACAATCAATATATCTACTTTCTCTGCAGAGTCTCTCCATATCTCTGGACCAGTGGTTTCGTAATGAGACTGCATAAAAATTTTAACAAAACGATGTAGAGAAAGAGAGAGCAATAGAAATGGGAAAAGGAGAGTCCATAAATATATATACATACTTGTGGGTTTGAAGGGTTTCTGAATTGCTCTAGTATGAAACCGTTTGGAGTTTTGCTTAATATCTCTTCAGCTTTGACAATTATTCCTACAACGCCTTTGCTAGGATCTGTGAGGTGAACCTCAGCACCTAATGCTAGAAGAATGATTCTTCTCTCAATGCTCACTGATGCAGGCATTGTAATCACAACTTTGTAACCTCTAGCTGCCCCAACCATTGCTATACCAATCCCGGTGTTACCAGATGTTGGCTCAATCAATATGCTCTGAAGTAGTAAGTAAAAATAATCACAAAGATTTACACTAATAGTTTTTTTAATTATATTATATTAATGAGATCATTTGTTTTAATCGTTGTACCTTTCCGGGAGTAATCAATCCCTTGTCTTCTGCATCTTTAATCATAGCATAAGCAATTCTAGCAAGCGGAAACAAAGGAGATTGCTTAGAAAATAATTAGAATAAATGTTTCGTTTTTTAAGTTGTATATATATACCTGTCCTTGACACTAGAGCAAGGCTGCATCATCTCAAGCTTAGCCGCGATACGAGCATCACAACCATCTACAATGTTGTTTAGGTACACCATTGGAGTGTTACCTATCAACTGTCACAGCATGCAAAAGACATGGAACTAAGCACCTAACTTGAACAAAGAAACTTAAGACATTTTTTTATAAATGTGAATTAAATTACCAATAGTAAAGGTTTTTAGTAATTAATCAGAAAAAATAAATACTATAAAATATGGATATACTTGAGTCACGTCATCCTTGATTGAGTACTCCATGCTATAAAGGGTCTTTGAAATTCCTGCAAGATTAACTTTCCAGATTTGGGTACTGAAGATCACAAAGCGGCCCTACTACACAGCAAGGCAGTCTAAATCTTAAACAAATTTCAAGATTTAGGGGTTTAACATGATAATGACAGTCTAAAACTAATGAGTGAATGATGCAGAGCAAACAAATTCTTGTTCTTGAGATAAAATGGAACCTGGAGAGGCGAAATTGTTCAAGATGTTCGCTAACTGAGGAGAGGAAACAGATGAAAAGTTCAAAAGAAACTTAATGAACTTACCAAGTTCGAGAGAATAAAGACTGTCCACAAAAAAAAAGATATAGAGAGAGAGAAGTGTTAATGGTGGTAAATAGATTGAGAGCGACAATACTTCTGTGTATTTTTTTTATTTTTTTTGAAACACTAATACTTCTGTGTATATAAAATAGAACAACGATCGTATTGTATTTTGTTCAAAAAAAAAAACGATCGTATTGTAACATTATACTTTAGCACTATCATCTCCTATGTATTTTATTATTTTTATCTCTAAAATAGAGCAGTTCTATAGAAGAAATATAGTTTACTCCAATCTCTATAATATTATTTGAGAAGTCACTTTCTTAGGTGTCGCGCTCACGTTAACTTTCACGCTGGTTGATTACTACGATACCCCTAATGAATTAAAAATATATTTAAATATTATTATTTCCTTTTTAAAATCTTCCAAATAACAATATAAAATAAAAAGAAAATATTTATAAAATTTACAAAACTATTTAAAACGAAAAATAAGTATATATATAGTATGGTTTCATAAAAAAAGAAAGTTTACAAAATAGTAATATTTAGGCCTGAGCAAAATAACCGGAACAGAAAAACCGAACCGGAATCGAACCGAAATACCCGAAACCGAAACCGGACCGAAATGCTTAAATATCCGAATGGTTCCTATATTTCTATACCCGAAAAACCGAACCGGAACCGGAACCGAACCGAGAACCGAACGGGTATCCGAATATCCGGAAAAAAAAAGTTAAATTTTTTTAAAATAAGATAAAATGACCTCAAACCCACTTGAACCCATGTTAGATACAAAGAGTAATTACATTTTTACCACCAGATTACGTTATATTTTATTTATTATGCTATATTATAATTAATAGTTAAAATTATCTGTTTTCTTAATAACTCTTTTGATGTTTAATTTTCTGTTTTTATGTTTGTGGAATTTAATTAATAATTAATCAAAAATTTAAGATATTTAGAATAAAAAAGATTATAGTTGAATTCATAGAAATAGAAAGAATCCAATATGTATATATATATATCCAAATGATAATACTAACTAAATATAATATATAAAATTATAATAACTAAAATAATATAATATTATTAATAAAAATTATACATACAAACTATAAACTAATATAAATTTTAAGTAAATATCAATCAACTATTATAATATATTTATTCTTAAATATTTAAGTCCGTGCATGAGCACGGGAAAATCACCTAGTATATTCTTTAAATGTAGTAATCTCTAAATTTAAAGTAAAAATAGTGAATTATTATTTTTCCTTATAAATAATGATAAAAATAGCAAGAGTTTATTTCCCACCAAACCAAAAAGAGAAATTAAATTTTGAAAGAAAGATAAAATAGGAAAGAGGAGGTGTTTTTATTTAGTTAGTGATTTTAGAAGTCTTTTTGAATATAAAAACAAGTTTCCCTATAAGGATAGGGTTGAGATGCTCTAAATGCACAACAACCCAATATCACGGGCTAAACATACAAAATCCATACCTACCTTCATTTCTCCATTTATCACCTTTAATTTGGATTTTTCTGATAATCAGGTGCCAGTTGTCGTATTTGCGTTTCACCCAAAAGAATTTGAGAAAAAGATGTTCTTAAGAAAGAAAGAAAGTAATTCAAGTCACTCCAACCAGATCTCAGAAAAGAAAAATTCAAGTCATTTGTCAAACCCCTCCTATATAAATATATTAATTGAGAAGTTATTAAGTGATTTTTTGTTTATGTAGGTGAAACGTTGTTGTTTATCTAAATTACAAGATCTACGAATTTTTTGGAATGTTGCTAGCTTTTCCTTCAACGGTTAGGTTAGTAGGTTACCAAACATTCATTCCTAACACATAATATATATGCTAACCAAATCCGGGAGGATTTCGTTTTTAGTTTTATTTATTGTTTTGGGTAGAAATCTAATCGACATACGTTACGTTACATATTACATTTACGTACATGCATGATGCATGCATTCATTCTAGCAGCAATATGACGTTTCATGTCCAACATCACTTTATTACATAGCCGAACCAAATAACGTAGTAGTAGTGGAAAAAGCTCTCATTCAATTGCCAAATTCTCTGCTTCACATCTGATCGAGTCGAACATTGGAGTCGATAAGTAACGCTCCCCGCCACTTGGGAAAATCACCTAAATACCGGATAGTAAACCAAAACATTCATTTTAAAATCCGGTTTGATTTCGGTTTAAAGATTAAAAACGTTGGTTTATAACTCTGTTTTCACTTACAACTATGAGCTTCCCGGCGTTTTCTGGTCGTTTAGCTACCTTTATAGCAGCCGCTGCAGCAGCTCCGGAGGATACTCCGACCTACCACACGTTATTAAGAAACGTTGAACAAATAACAAAAATTATTGAAAATTAGGAGATTTTTATGTACCAGCAATCCTTCTTTCAGGGCAAGAAGTTTGGCTGTTTCAATTGCTTCCACAGTTGTCACCTGAAAATGGATATTGCAAAAGTTCTCAGTCTTCTTTCTTTGACATCTCATGGAGTTAAAAAATACACACAATGTTAATTACACATTACTTGAATGACTTCATCAAGAAGGCTGAGATCCAAAGTGTCTGCGATGATTCCAGGTCCAATACCTTGGATCCCATGTGGACCTACAAACCGTAGAGCCAGCGAATGTTTATATGCGTATTATGTTCAAGAACAAGATTTGTAAGCCTGAGCGAGAGACTAACTCACCAGGTTGATCTCCACTGAGTACCGCACTCTCTGCAGGTTCCACCCCATAAACCTGTTGATAAAACAAATACTCGAGAATAAGCCTTAGGCATGATTAATTCCGGTCTCTTACCTGAGGTTCTTAACTTATGATTTGACATTTTTTTTTTACACTTTTCAGTTAAGAGACGTTTCTTATATTTCTTATTTAAGAGACGGTTCTTGGCTTTTTTTAGTTAAAATCTAAGAACCGTCTCTTAACCGAAACAAATGCTCAAGAATAAGCCTTAGTATCTAACAAGTGTTCTGTCATATATCAGTTTGTACCTTAACGTTTTTATTCTTCTCCTTGAGGAACTTCCCTGCTCCAGAAATAGTTCCACCAGTTCCAACACCAACAATCAATATATCTACTTTCCCAGCAGAGTCTCTCCATATCTCTGGACCAGTAGTGTCATAATGACACTACAGAGAAACCAATTTTTTTGATAAAACTAAAAAGATGTAGAAACAGAGTAATATGAAAGGAGAGTCCATAAATATATATACATACTTGTGGGTTTGAAGGGTTGCTGAATTGCTCTAGCATGAAACCATTTGGAGTTTTGCTTAATATCTCTTCAGCTTTGTCAATTATTCCTATGACTCCTTTGCTTGGATTTGTGAGGTGAAGCTCTGCACCTAATGCTAGAAGAATGATTTTTCTCTCAATGCTCGCTTTTGCAGGCATTGTAATCACAACTTTGTAACCTCTAGCTGCCCCGACCATTGCTAAACCAATCCCGGTGTTACCAGATGTTGGCTCAATCAATATGTTCTGAAGTAGTAAATAAAATCACAAAGATTTAAACCAAGACTTTTTTATTATAATATATTCAGAGATTGTTTGTTTTAATCGTTGTACCTTCCCGGGAGAAATTAATCCCTTGTCTTCTGCCTCTTTGATCATTCCATAAGCAATTCTAACAAACAGAAGATATCATTCACGTTTCAACTAAATAAATTTGGAGCAAAAAGGCAAAAGAAAATACATAAAATAAAAATAAATGTTTGTTTTCGTTTTTAAGTTGTATATATATACCTGTCCTTGACACTAGAGCAAGGCTGCATCATCTCAAGCTTAGCGCCGATACGAGCAACACAACCATCTACCATGTTGTTTAGGTACAGCACTGGAGTGTTACCTATCAACTGTCACAGCATGCAAAAAACATGTAACTAAGCACATAACTTGAACCAAGAAGCTTAAGACAAAGAAACTTGAGACAGTTTTTTTTTTTGATAAAAGTGAATTAAAATACCAAAAGTAAAGGTTTTTGGTAATAGATTAGAAAAAAATAAAAATATTAGTAAGATATGTATTTACTTGAGTCACGTCATCCTTGATCGAGTACTCCATGCTAACAGGTAATTCCTGCAAGATTAACTTTCCAGATTTGAGTAGTGAAGATCACAAAGAGGCTCTACCACACAGCAAGACAGTGTAATCTCAAACTAACTTCAAGATTTAGGAGTTTAACATGAGAATGAATGAGTCTAAAAACGATGATGAAACAAATGAGTGAATCATGCAGAGCAAACAAGTTCTTGTTCTTGAGCTGAAATGGAACCTGAAGAGGTGAACTTATTCAAGATGTTCCAAAACAGATGAAGAGTTCAAAAGAAACGTAATGAACTTACCAAGTTCGAGAGAATCTGTCCACAAAAAGAGATGGAAAGAGAGAAAATTGTTAATGGTGCTAAATAGATTGAGAGCGACGAACTACTATTTATAAAGTAGATCAACGACGTATACATCTGCTTTTAGCAGAGTCGTGAGAACACTTATAACCTACATGAGCGACTTTTAGAAATATGCCTTGAAAAGAAAAAAATGCCTTCATTCATAAATAATATCATTGTCACTTAGAAAAATCTAACAAGCTGAATAATAATAATACACATAATTTATATATATATACTATTTATACTATTATTTGTGAAGTGATTTTTTGCATTCGAATTCTCACTTTAAAAGTTATAGTGGTTAATATCGTTTATAATATATATACATATATATATAGCCAAAAAAAATTATTAGATTAAATAAGTTATTAGAACTAATGGCAATAAATTATCCAAAATCTAAAAATATATTTTATTTTAAAAGATAATTCATATATATATATATATATATATATATATATATATTGTGTTGTTATCCAAAAAGTATCTTTCGATAAAAGATTTAAAATTTGAAAAACAGAAAAACATAACTAAATATTAATAAAGTAAAATTTTTATTTTATATAGCTAAAAATAGAAAATTTAGTGATTTATTCGATTTCTTTATGAATAATGATTGTATTGTACAAATAGATTTTTAAAAATATTTATAATACGTAAAAGTTTTAATATAAAAATATAGGTAATAATTTATCCTTATATTTTTAATTAATAATGCATATACTAATAAATAATTACAAAATGCTTAATCTCGCATGTGTAAGCAAACGAAACATCTAGCTTTCCATGAATTCATTGACTTTTTTAAAAGACATAATTTTTAGAATTTTTTAAAAGATAGAATAGTCAAATTATTTTTTGCCGAACAAAATAATATTGTGCATTTTAACTTGGGAAAACTCTCATTTAGCATGAAGACCATCATCAATATGTTTTATTATTTTTATTTTTAAGATAGAACAATTCTATAATAGAAGTAGCGTTTACTTTTTTTTTTATCAAAAGAAAAAGTAGCGTTTACTCCAGTATATTCCTATAAATACCAATCTATAAATATAGCGTAAAATTGTGTGTATTATACGCAATACCGTATAAAGTAGAGCAACAATTGCATATTATACCAACCAAGCCAATACCAGGTGCTTGAACAGAAAAAAAAGCAATACCACGTTTTAAACTTTCAAAATCCGTACCTACCACTTCTCACGTGTTACTTCAGTTTTAGATTTTTCTGATAATTAGTCAGTTGTTCTATTGAGTTTCACACAAAAGAGAGAAACAATAAAAAAAAAAAAAAAAAGAGAGAAACAATAGGTTTATAAGAAAGTCATGTGTCAAAAATAATAATAAATAGTTATTGAATCTTTTGGATTATAAATTAATTAGATATGATATATGATTTTGTAATTGTTATACATTATTATGCTATAAAATAGTAATAAACCAAAGATAATTTATAATAAAAAAAAATTTATGAATGAATGAATTTATCTTAAATTTATATGTACATTCTTATTTAACTTTTACTTCTACTTGTACATTTTATTCGAACTCAAAAAATAAACCCGAAGATCTAATACCCATACTTACTCTTCCTTTTTAATACCAGGTAATATTACATTACCGTATAATCTATAATTCTATTATATATGATAATCAATACATGTGATATTGGTGAACCACTCTCAATAAACTGCAGTAGATAACTACAACGATAACTACAACGATGAACTTTATCTGTAGTATTCTGGACCTTAATAAACTTTGCATTTTATATCTCCAAAAAATCGAATTGTCTCTAAACTTTGAATTTCACAATCGGATGTTTTTCAATGTTTACTCTCTCTATCATTATAACTAGGTGTTTTGCCCGCACTTGCGGGCATAATTCTCTTATGAATATTTATTAGTTGATGTTTCATTAATTTAAAAATTATCATAGTAAGTTATTATTTATGTTTCAAAAAGTAAAAATCAAACATCAAATAATTATCAATGACAAAACTCAAACATAAGAAATATTTAAAAGAATATATTTCTATAACTATTTTTATTGATTTATATTTAATTATAATATTTATATCTTAATTTTAAATTTTATATTAGAAAAGCATATTTTCAAGATTACAATATAATGCATAAGTTATTTATTTTCTGAAATTATAAAATGATAATTTTTTTTAAATTATATAATAATTATATAAGATTATAGAAATTATGACATATAATTAAAATTACCTAAAATAATTGAGAGCTTAATTAATCAGCAAATTCACTTCTTAAATAATTTTTCTTGAGTGATGATTTATATTTAATTAATAATAGATAATTTTTCTATTTTACTTTTAAATTATATAATATAAAAATATATTTTCAGGATAACAACATAATACATGAGAATTACCATATTCTCTAAAAGTATAATATTATTATTGTAAATTTATTTCAATTATAGAATAACTACAACTTTTTATATCTTAATTTTAAATTTCTAATAGAAAAATATATTTTCAAGAAAGCAACTTAATACATAAGAAGTATTTTATTTTCTAAGAATCTGATACTATTAATATAAATTTGTTTTAAATATAAAATAAATTACATATAAAATTATATAAATTAATAAATTATCCAAATTACCTAAAATCAAGAAAATGTGACAAATCAACAAACATCAAATTCACTTCTTAAATAATATTATAGATTTTTTACATGTCAATTTTAAATTTTATAATATAAAAATATTTTTTCAAGATAACAGAATAATATATAAGAATTAAATTATTTTATAAAATATCATATTATTAATATAAATTATTTTTAATTGTAGAATCAATAATAAACAAAATTATGAAAATTCTGATAAATGATCAAAATTACCTAGGATCATGGAGACAAATCAACAAATTCACTTTTCAAATAATTGTTTTGATGATTTATATTTAATTATGAATTATATTTAATTACTAATAATATAATTTTATATCTTAATTTTAAGTTTTATAATAGGAAAATATATTTTCAACATAACAACATAATCCATAATGATTATCTTATTTTAGAAAAATATTAGATTATTAATATAAATTTGTTTTAGATAAAAATAATAGTGTTTATATCTTAATTTAAAATATAAGTTTTATATATAAAATATATTTCAAGATAACAATATAATTCCCAAGAATTGTCTTGTTTACTAAAAAATATGATATATTAATAGAAATTCGTTTTTATTAAATAATAAATTTTATATGAAATTATTTAAATAAGGTAAATTAAAGAATTTATCTAAAATCAAGGAGAAGTTGACAACTATAAAAATATATTTCAAGATAACAATATAATTCACAAGAATTATCTTATTTACTAAAATATGATATATTAATAGAAATTCGTTTTTATTAAATAATAATTTTTATATGAAATTATTTAAATAAGATAAATAAACAAATTTACCTAAAATCAAGGAGACGTTGACAACTATAAAAATATATTTCAAGATAACAGTATAATTCACAAGAATTATCTTATTTACTAAAAATATGATATATTAATATAAATTCGTTTTTATTAAATAATACATTTTATATGAAATTATTTAAATAACGTAAATAAACAAATTTACCTAAAATTAAGGAGAAGTTGACACCTCAGCAAAATTACTTCTTAAATAATAGTATAGATTTGTGTATTTTATATGAATTATATTTGTTAAGTCGGTGAGATTTAATATTGACAGATTTTTAGTTAATTTAATAGTATAGATTTGATGAGATTTTGGTAACTTTTAAACTTTTATTAAATAATAAAATTTTCTTTTCTTTTATAAAATAATTTATTTTATGTAATATGTGTAATTTTTTATAAAAAATTATTTAAATAGTTAATATGTAAATCCATTACTAAGTATAAGATATGATGTATAATATCATCGCATAATAACCATAAGGTCGGATGATAAAATATATTTAGAGGAAAATTACTAACATGAAATGAAGGGTAATAATATGATTCATTTAGAATATTGTATTGTTAGAATAATTAATAGTAGGACAAAAAAAGAAGAAGTTAGTTTTATATAAGTCCAACATCTTTTTATAGTAGAATAGTTCTTTTAATAGTATAGATAAATACACTTCAGTCACTTCCAAAGCTTATACGAGAAAGCTAGAATCTAATACAACGGTTATACACAAACCCCCAACTATCATTCATCCCTATTGACAAATAATTTAAGGAAATACAAAAAAAAAAACTCAAACCTAGAGAAATATCACAATAATACCTTAGCAAATTTATAATTGAAAAGATTCAAATCTCTCGTACTAATACTCACCACACACTCCAGAAGGTTAAATCTCATATCAAATATCAACCTAACTGGTTATTAATCTTCGTCATTGTCTTATTCCTCATCTTGTTTTCATCATACACCACTTGGCATCGTCTTTAACTCATGCAATGTAGCTCTAATCTGCTCTTGAACCAACTCTAATCTCCTTGAATACACTTCCAGCTCCAGAATCTGCTGCTTCCTCCACCGCTCATCATTCACGGCCTTGTTTCCTCCTCCTTCTACGACATAACCAAACGGCCGTGTAAACATGGGACTTAACGAGCCAAACCCATGACCACCACCACCAACACCACCTCCCATTGCAGCCATCATCATACTCGTTGTCCCATTCATCATCTCCTTAATCACAGGAGAGACACAGTTCTTCACAGTCTCCTCAATCAACACACCGATGTTTCCTCCAATAACAGCCGTCGCTGGCTCGTTGAGGTTAACATTACTACCTGCATTTGGTATGTTCCCATCACATGGAGTGAGTATAGGTTTGTTGTCGTCTTCAATCTTCCCAATCCTCGACCGCGACCGTTTCCTCGAACCACTACTACTACTCATCATCATCAACCTCTTCTCAACTCCGTTTTCAGAATCCATCTCAACCACATTAACACCAGGATTAGAACCAGGGCTATTATTATTAGTCTCCTCAAAATCATTATCCTCAAACCCAATGATCTTCCCAGTCTGATTCCAAATCTTCCTAGAGATTTCGAAAGTGGACTGATCGTGAGGGCTCTTAAAGAACACCTCCTTACCCGAGCTGATCTTGCTCATCACGTTCCTGTACTTCTTCTTGAGCCTCCTCAGCTTCTCCACGAGCTGGTTCTTGTTGAAATCCAGCTGGAGCTTCGACTTGATCAGCTCGTAAAACGGCGCCGTATCGGGGGGATGCGAGCTGCTCCCTCTGTGCGTCGTCACGTAGTCGAGGAACCCGCGGAGGAGCTCGATCTCGTCCTCGTCGGTCCACAGCCTCTGGAAGAGACGCCGAGAGTCGTCGATCGCCGGCGGTGGTCTCTGGTGGACGATCTCCGTCATGCGGTGCCATTTCGGATCGGAGTCGACGGGGATCACGGAGACGGGGACGGCGGATCCGGCCGGAAGCGCGACGGTTACGGCGTCTGTGGAGGAGGTCGTTACGGCCGTTACGGTTGCTGTTAGATCTTCTTCTTCTTCCTCGGGATCGTCTGTTTCGGGAATCGCCACGTCATCGTTCTCGCGTAGATCCTCGTCGGTGTCGGACTCTGCTACGCCTCCTTCCTCTAGATCTGGCGATTCCATAGAGAAAACGACGTCGCGTTGATCGGATGACATATCAAGGGAGAGAAAACAGATCTGGGGCTCTAACCTTTGAGCGAAGGATCGGGTTAAGAGCGAGAAGTGGTGGGATCACGAGGATTGGTTGGTTACGCGCTTGTGATTGGGTGGTAGGGGGGCATGAGATTCTCGGTCCAACCAGGGGTAGTTTCGGTGTTTCATGATTTTTAGAGGAAAAACGTTTACGAAAGTGGTCACCCACTCCTACACGCACTTTGGTCTCTTGGTGTTATTATTATTTGCGGTCTTTTGTGTCCTGACGTCTTCTCGCTCTCGGTCCCTAAGAAAAGTCATGTAAGAAGAAATTTGAGTGTTTCTTAAAAGTGACTGCTGAACGAATTCCTTCCCTCGTACAATTATTTTGTTTTTGTTTTTGGAGCAAGCAACATTACACAAGCCCAACGTTATCTTTTTGTTTTGCAATTTTTTTTAAAAAATAGTATTTGTAATTGGGTGCATGAGAATCTTGGGTTCACTCAGGGGTAGTTTCGGTATTTCCAGCTCTATAACGTGGCGAATTGGCAAGTGTGGTCACCCACTCGTAAACGCATTTGGTGTATTTTTTGCGGTCTGTTGTGTCCTGGACGTCTCGCGGTCCTAACGAAAGAGTGTTTCTTAAACTTGACTGGTGAATGAATCACTCGTACTACTTTTTGGAGAAACAACACAACTACAAGCCCAATATAAACCATAACCAATTATTTTTGTCTTACAAATTAAAAAAAAAAGTGTTTGTGATTGGATGTGTATGAGAATCATCGGCTCAACCAGGGGTAGTTTCGGTATTTCCAGCTTTATAACGTGGCGAATAGACAAGTGTGGTCACCCACTCGTAAACGCATTTGGTGTATTATTGCGGTCTGTCATGTCCTGATGTCTCGCGGTCCCAACGATAAGTTCCAAAAGCCCTAAAGAGCGTTAGGTAAACGTGACTATTGTAATAGATTCGATGTCATAAAAAAGGCAAGTTTAATTTACGTTGTTCTCTTTATTCATAGTCTCAGAAATTGACAACCAAATGCATATATACTTCATTCAAAAGAAATGTGTGAGAATCACTTTTAACAACCATCAAATCGAAAAAAGCATTGAGTGCGCAGGAATAAGAAAATGCTTTTGTTGATTGAATTTACATTGGATTCGAATGGTCGAAGAGACCTCGGATTATGCTCAGCTTTTAAGAAAAAGTAGGAATCGGATTCGGTCAAAAATCTCATCATAGGTTACTAGGTTCAGAATTGAATTAGCGAATTTTAGTTTTCTTCTCACCGACAAGAATTTAAAATAGTATTGAACAAAACCTTCGATTATGTTTAATTGTCTAGTTGAAGAGAAGATCTAACATCAAACAAAGAACAAAAAGATAAAACATAAAAGTTGATTATGAAGAACAGAAAATGGTTGATACTGTCTTGGGATCTCACTTCTTCTTGGGATCACCAGCCTTTGTCTGCAATATTAAAGCAAAGAAAAATGAGTAAACAGAATCATAGTGTGTAACACTTGTGTTGTGTGTAAAGAGTGGTCATAGTAACAGTAGGTCCTCACCTTCTTAACACCACGGATCTTCTTGGCACGGTTCTTCCTTTCCTTAATTTGTTTCCTTGATTTCTCAATCTTCGTGTCAAGACCATTCTGCAAATCACACATGCAACCGTCTTTAAGTATCTTAAAACGTTTATAAAAAAGCCAGAATAACAATAATGATCAACAAGAGCAGTAACACTAGTAATACTAATAACTAGTGCTAGACTAAAAAAATACATTTCATGAAAATATAAGAGGAAAGAGCATTTACTTACCCTGATAAGTCTGTACTTGGGTTCGAATTTCTTAGCGCTCTCGACATTGTCATAAATCAAACCAAACCCAGAAGATTTACCACCTCCAAAATGGGTTCTGAATTTGAAAACAAAGATGGCATTTGGGTCTTTGACCTCGTACATCCTTGCTAACTTCTCCTTTAGCTCAGCCTTTTAATTAAAAAATAAAAATAAAAAACACATAAAAAAACTCTTTAACCATTCTCTAGTCTATATAATGATGAAGTAACAAAAGCATTGTGGCAGTTAAGAGTATACCTTTGAAACATTGGCTCTTCCAGGGTGAAGAACATCAATAACCTACATTTACAAAAATTCACCATTTTTCTTACTAACTGTTCCAAAAAAGCTAGCTATAAATGAATACATCAAATCAAACACTATGAAGTTTTAAGAGTAATCTAAACATTAAGTTACTCAGATTCAGAAACTAATCAGCTCACACTATTCTTAATTCCCCGTTAATCAAATATCATACTAATCTAATGGAAACTCACGAATTGCTTCCTTGACAGAAGTCTGTTGGTCATGAATTTACGGGTTCTGATGGTGACTGCCTTCTCCGCCATTGTTGCGATCTCAACGAAGATCTCTCTGGCAAAGCTTTGAGTTCGTTCGTTCGTCGGCTCGGGTGAAAGGAGACGCGCAGAGCAAGCTGTAGTGTTTTTTATAGTATAGTTCTTTGATTAGGGTTTTTTTCTTTCAGATATAAACTGGGCCTTAACTTTATTGGGCTTGGGAAATCCTAGTTTACCGGTTTGAAACTGTATAAAATAAAACATAGAAGAGAAAAAAGAGTGTAGTGTGCTAAGTTTTAAGTTTAGTGGGCTTAACTATGTATAGCCTAATTATTTTTTGGTCATCCTGGTCTATTTATTTATTTGCAAGTGAAATTATTCAAATCTATAAAACAAAAACAACGTTTTGTTTTGGACAATTCTCTCAAATATTCTGTTTTAAGTTTTTGTTACAAAAATAATCATAAAAATAAAAATAAAACAGCTTTTTTATTTTCGAAATTTGTAGTATTAGTTTTTTTATTTTTTTAAATTTGACACACTGAACCCAAAATTCTATTTCTGAACTCTAAATCTTAAACTTAGATTAATTAATCCAAGGGTATAAATTTATATTTACTCTTTCATAAAACTTTATTTTGGTCATTTTCCTTATTAAAAGTTATTTTTATGAAAATAAACTAAAAAAAAAATGTTGAGGGAATTTCTTTGTGTGTGTGTCATTGTGTGTTTTTTTAAGTATTACATTTTGAAGACTCTGAAGCGCGTTCATGAAATAAATTATTGAGTTGAAAAAAGTTGTATTGTTTTTTGGTGGATTCAATCAAGTCGATCGACCCCGCATAAAAGGAATCATTTATTCAATATAATAAACATTGTATTAACTTCTTTCTTTTTTTTGAAACACTTGTATTAACTTCTTTAAAAGCATCTGGTAAAGAAGAGTGATTAACTATTTATAAAGATAAGATAAGCAATAAAAAAATTGTTGAACTTATTAGCAACACACACACGAATGTTCAGATGAGTTTGCGTTCCACCGCAAAAGATAATTCGACCACAAATTTTAATTTAAGGACCGACAGACATAAGTGGAAGAGGAAGATACGAGAAGAATGGTTGGCACTGAAGTGGGTTGGGTACGAAAAGAGTACGTTTGATCTGTACATAATCAATACCACATGCCATCCAAAAACACGATAATTTAAGATTTTGCTTCGTAAGGCTCTGCCGTTAAGATCAATTATTACCTTCTTCAATTGATAGGGTCAACCTTATTAAATTCTCCATTTCATGTCCCTATCTTTTTTCATTATCTTTTGTTTTCCCCCATAGAATTTTATAAACCGGTTAGCATAAATTTCAGACTTTGAATTTGGACAACGCATCATTTTCATGTTTGAGATATGTTTTGTCGTTCAACACATTTTGGCTTAAGGTGGTTTAATTGTCCTTTCTTGTTGATCTACGTAACTAATCAAAAACTTACAATATCTTAAACGAGAATGAATGCATATTCCCTCATGATTTTACCTTGATATTATTGGATTCATCATTTTCTCCAATTATTAAGAAAAGGGATAAACTGGAAATTTTATTATTCTTCAATTAACTATGAGCTTTGTATCAAAATGATAATTATGTATCTTTTTTTTTTTTATTTATAATTATGTATCTTTTGATTGCATATGGTCTATGATAATTATGTATCTTTTGATTGCATATGGTCTATGGAAGTCATAAGAAACCATCAACTTAGGTAAAATAATTGAACAATAATGATCACAAAATAATCAATCAATTTTCTGAAGATATTCTGTATATACAAATAACAACGATCACCTAACATATCGTAGAGAGTTCATCGACTACTTATATCTTAGATCTGCAAGATATGGTCTGGTGAGCTTCATATATTTTAGTAGAAGAAGAGCACTTATAGTATGTAGCTTGTCCACATGAGATGCGTGTAATGATATTTTTGCTAAGAATGCTAATATCATATTAATGATGTGTTTAGATTTTACAAAAAGTTAATCTAAGAGATACTCTACCTTGGCAAAAGAAAGAAAAACAAAATAGAGCAATGATTGAGGATCGAATGGATTATATGATCCAACTTGACAAAAGAGAATGAAATTTCTTCCTATCTCTCCTAGCTAAGATTGTGTTCTTGACTTCTCTGTATATCATGCGCGCAATTACCGTCGGAGCAATACTGCAGTTATTATGATACACATTGTTTCTCTGCTTCCAGAGATGGTAGATTGCAGACTGAACTGCTAATTCTCTGCGTGTAATGATATTTCTTCTCCATTTTAATGTTATTTGTATATACAGAATATCTTCAGAAAATTGATTGATTATTTTAAGATTTTTGTCATAGAGCTTGCGAGTTACTATCAAAAGTTTAAACCAAACGTCGAACTTAATTTGGAGAATCGTATTCTAGTGTAGATATGGACAAGAAAAGTCTTATTGAAAAGGTCCAACCATTTAATATTACACTACAATCATATAGTTCTAATTAAATTGAATTGATTACCAAATACCAACGCATGTGGATGAACCCACATTTCTAGTAGATTGGTCGGCACAAGAACATGGCCATGTGCTGCTGTGGGTTTGCACCTGTAGTTTACTATATTTTCCCATCGATTTCACTTTACATTTTCCGAACGTCTTATGAAATTGTAGACACAGACTTATTTGTGAGATGTTCTCATAACGAAAAATTACTAAATTTAGTAAGTTTTATTACACTGCTCAATAATTCGCTTCAATTATTGTTTTGGCATTTAATTCGTATCCAACCTATTATCTTCCCCACATGATTAAATGCATGGCACCTTGCAAACAAAATGTTCAGAAGAGACTAAATCATTACAATATTCACTTTCCAAGAAAATAACAAATTTTGAAATACGAATGAGTAG